CGATGTATCTCGCTGCATTGCGCGAGTACGCTTCTAGTATATATATATATATATACAGGTGGAGGTTCAAACGTGAACACATTCGTTTTATGAGAATGCAAAAACACCCTAAAGTAATTATTGAGGTTCTCGTTTGAATCCTTCCCTATATATATAGTAATTAACCTGCCTAAAGTAAAGGCTTAGCCTAGGGCTAGGGTCCGGTTTGCCCATCCCGATCCCATATATATATATATATATATAGATATATATATATATATATATAGAGAGAGAGAGAGAGAGAGAGGTGGGTTATCATACAACTCCATACATTTGTACAACCAATACAACTCAATCTCAGCCGTCCATTTAATTTGTTAAATATGTAATTTCATAGAAGTTTTAATTGTTTTATAATGTAAAGTATTGATCATAATCAATGAATCTTATTTATCTTCTATAAATATTTAAATCGTAATAAATAAACTCTCATTATTTTCATAAATATTTCGATTTATTATGTTGCATTGGTTGTACAAATACGATTAGTTGCATTTGGAACAAACTCTCTCTCTCTCTCTCTCTATATATATATATATATATATATATATTTGTCAAAATAAATATTTGGTGTTCTTGGCTTCAAACAAGAGTAGGAATGGGTGCACATGCGTTACTCTCGTCAACCCATGTTCTCTTCGTTCAAAAGGTTTGATTGGTTCTACATGTTCATTATTTTGGACTTTTTTCTTTTATTTTCTTATATTATTTATCTCTTTTTAACTTACAACAAAAATGAATTATTAAAAAAAACACACACACACATATATATATATATATATATATATATATAAATGGTTGGGTTTCGATAAAAAATAGAGTTAATATGAGAATTATAAGAAAAGATCTCAATTCTTTGACGCAAAGTAGGATGAGATGTACCGGATAAATCCCCCTATGAAACGTGATTCTTCATAGATGAGTTTGAGATTAAAGGTGATCAAGAGTCCAAATCCTTTCTTACACTTCTCAATTTAACTCTCATTTTCATACGATTCTTCACACACAACACACACACATATATATATATACATATATATATATATATATACACATATATATATATATACATATATATATATATATGCAGTGGTAGGTCCAAGATTTTTGTTGAATGGGTCCAGATTTAAGGTGGAGATCAGTGACCCATAAAGTATTTTGTTATGTTTTTATCCGAATTCCACCATCTTGAACACACATAGGTCTACCCCTACATATATGTACATATAGGGTGAATAATATGAAAATATAGGACCGATACAATGACTAGAGAACGTAAAAATATTATCCTTTTAAGAACT